AAACTAAGATAAAGCGAAAGCTAAGCTAACGATAAGCTAAAGCTAAGCTAAAGCTAAACTAAATCTAAGATAAGGCTACGCTACATCTAAGATAACGCTAAGCTGAAGCTAAGCTACAGCTAAGCTACAGCTAAACTAAAGCTAAGCTAACGCTAAGCTAGCACTACGCTGAAGCTAAGCTAAAGCTAAGCTAAAGCTAAGCTAACGCTAAGCTAACACTAAGCTAAAGCTAAGCTAAAGCTAAAGCTAAAGCTAAAGCTAAGCTAAAGCTAAAGCTAAGGCTAAAGCTCCCAGGGGACTGGGGGAACCGCGGGGCAGGGACTGGGGGAACCGCCCGGGGCGGTTTCCATTGCCCGGCCCCTTTAAGCTAGAGAGTAAGAACCCTTCTAGGCAGAGCCTAGGTAGGGAAAAAGAAGCAGAGCGCGACAAATAATCATAATACTAAAAAGAATCCCACCAGCCCTCTGGGCGCAGGTGGTCTAGGGCGTTTCCCTTTTCCAACCTCCTGCCTTTCCCTGCTCGGGAGGTTTACCTCCCCCCCTCTCCCTGCGTTTGGACCGGGGGGGGGACAGACCCATAGCAGCGTCCAAGATGGCCTCCAAGATGGCCCAAGATAGCGGTAGACGGGTCAAGATAGCCTCCGACACGCGTCCAGGAGGCCTCAAGACGGCCCCAAGACGGTTTCAAGTGCCCTCCGATGCCTCCAAGGACCCCCCCAAGAGGCCAAAACCCTTTCAAAAACCACAGGAAAATCAATGTTTTTTGCCTTCTCGCTTTTTCGCCTCCGAAGGGCTCTTGAGGCCTCAAGATGGCCGCAAGATGGCCCAAGACAGCCCCAAGAGGGGCCCAAGAGAGCCCCAAGACGGCCCCAAGAGCGCCCAAGAGCGCTCCAAGAGCGGGCCAAGAGGGTCCCAAGACGGCATTTTTGAACCTCCGAGGGGGGTGGCAAGAATTGCCCCCCCCCTCCCCCCCCCCTTCTTTAGCCATAAGGACCAAGACGGCCCCGAGAGGCCTCCCAGAAACCCTCCAAAGAGCCCCAAGAGGGCTCCAAGACCCTCCAACAGAGCCCCAAGAGGGCCCCAAGACCCCCAAAAGAGCCCCAAGAAGCCCCAAGAAGGCCCTAAGAGGACCTCAGAAGAGCCCCAAGAAAGAGCCCCAGGAGGCCCCAAGAGGGGCGCACAAGAGAATCCCAAGCGGGCCCCAAGATGCCTCCAAGTTTCGGAACGCACGCGAGTTTAAGATACAAGTCAGTGCAAAAGCCATTACGAGTCATCGAAATACCCCTCACCTCTCATCGAAGCACCATCGTAACCTGCACTGATTTCCATCTTAAACTTCAATGCGGGAAACTATGTGTGATGCTTGTGTTCTCGAAGACGGCTGCGCGACTGCATGCGTTCTGCAGCCCCTGATTCACCAACTCCCCTGCTGATCGTTTCTGGATGGGCTGGTGGGGATACGCGAAGCGTCAAGAATTAGGAGAAAAACAATACGCATAATAATCGTAAGAGGAAGAAAACGAAGGCGAAGACGAAGACAACCAATGTGAATGCGAGGCGGGGGTTTACCCATATCCATCGCCTGGGAACCGACGTCCTGGTGCCCCAGCGGGCGGCGGATATGGATACATTCTGGCCCCCGGGGGCCCGAACCTATCCTTATCCACCGCCTGTGGAGGTCCGGGAATATCGATCCCCAAGGCGATGGTTATGCATAACACCCGCCTCGGATAAAAGAGACATACTAATAATAATCAAGAGCAAGCAGAAGAGGAGGAGGAGGAGGAGGAGGAAGAAGGGGGCCATGACATCGGGGAGAGGTCGTGTCCCTGGCCATGATATATACCCCCCTCGCCCCTAGTCCTCACGCGCCTCGACGCCTGGTAGTTTTCGGGTCAGAGCTGCGTAATTCGGGCCTCCCGGGCACCCCTGGGAAGCTCTCGACGAGGCACAGCGGTTGGAAAGCATCCCGAGGCGAGAAAGTCTCCAAGAACCATCAGCAACTTCCTCGACCTCCGAGCCGAGACGCACCGTTGCGTGCATGCGGGCCGTGCTCCGAAACATAGCGTGCATGTTGAACGTTTGACGCGCGCGAACCTGCCCCGAATAATGTTTACTATACTGTGCGCGGTGGCGGTTGCGAATATAGTTTCACGGTCAGGTTCCTGACCCCGACTGTTCTGCGGCAACTCACGGGAGCCTCCCACATCGTCTTGCTGGCTCCTGCGAATCGACGCTGACTCGACGCCACATCGGCCATTTCTCATCGATTACCAGATGCTGGCGCACGCTAGTGCGCTCTAGAGACGGGACTGCGACCTATTCCCTTCGGGGAGGGGTATCCTCCCCATCCCCTCCCTGAGGTTTCGTGGGGGGATTCGCGGACGGTTGGGGCGCCAAAGATGGCTCCAAGAGGGCCTCAGATGCTCCAGTGTGGCCTCCACGATGGCTCACGATAGCCGACGATGGTTGCCCGCTTTGTTTCACTGCATGTGTCTCTTCATCCCTTTCCCCATCAACTCTCGCGGGCAGGCTTTCTGAATGGGCTGGAAGGGGTGGAGGAGGAGGCCCCAACGCACGGCGCGGAAGGCGGCGCCGAAAACGCCCCCGCCACCATAGGAAGTGGCCGGCTGCGGCCTCGGGGCGTTCTATACAAGGAGAAGAAGGAAAGCCGCAATGTTGGGGTCGTTGGGAACCTTTTGTGGGCTGCACCTGTAGCTATCTTGGGCAATCTTGGAGTAATCATCATCATTGTGCCCATAGCCCCGACGTCATTTTTTCTAGGACGTCGACCCCCAAAGGTCTAGACCCATTCCCCATGACCAGTTCTTCTTCCCGAGTAGCTCTTCCACGGTCTGGCGGCGCGGTGGGGGCCCCCGGAGGCCGAAAATAATTATCCTGGCGAAGGACCCAACCATATGCAGTTGTGAATGCCGCAATTGTGAATGCCATCTTCGCCTGCGCTCCCTATGTGGCCACGGCTTCTCGCCGGAGCCCGACATGCTCAGGGACACGTTCGTGGCCGTCTTCGCGGGCGCCGACGACGACAAGGACGGCGTCCCTCTCACCGAGGAGCAGAAGCAGGAGAAGGCCTTGAGAGCCATGAGGGAGGAGGTGGCGTTGCACGTCGACAAGGCGGAGTACGACGCCCATGCGCGGTTGTTGAAGCAGCGCAACTATGGGGCCACGATCCTCGTGAGGGATGTGCCGCTATGGCCCGGGGCCGCCATGCGAACCCTGCCACTGGCGCCTTCGGTGGAGCTCCAGTGGGGCCACGGTCCTCGTGAGCCGAAATGGCCCGAGGCCGCCGTGCGAACCCTGCCACTGGGGCCTTCGGTGGAGCTCCCCATAGGGCCACGATCCTCGTGAGGGGTGTGCCGAAATGGCCCGAGGCCGCCATGCGAACCCTGCCACTGGCGCCTTCGGTGGAGCTCCCTATGGGGCCACGATCCTCGTGAGGGGTGTGCCGAAATGGCCCGAGGCCGCCATGCGAACCCTGCCACTGGCGCCTTCGGTGGAGCTCCCTATGGGGCCACGATCCTCGTGAGGGGTGTGCCGAAATGGCCCGAGGCCGCCATGCGAACCCTGCCACTGGGGGCCTTCGGTGGAGCTCCCTATGGGGCCACAATCCTCGAGAGGGGTGTGCCGAAATGGCCCGAGGCCGCCATGCGAACCCTGCCACTGGCGCCTTCAGTGGAGCTCCCTATGGGGCCACGATCCTCGTGAGGGGTGTGCCGAAATGGCCCGAGGCCGCCATGCGAACCCTGCCTCTGGGGCCTTCGGTGGAGCTCCCTATGTGGCCACGATCCTCGTGAGGAGTGTGCCGAAATGGCCCGAGGCCGCCATGCGAACCCTGCCACTGGCGCCTTCGGCGGGGCTCCCTATGGGGCCACGATCCTCGTGAGGGGTGTGCCGAAATGGCCCGAGGCCGCCATGCGAACCCTGCCACTGGCGCCTTCGGTGGAGCTCCCTATGGGGCCACGATCCTCGTGAGGGGTGTGCCGAAATGGCCCGAGGCCGCCATGCGAACCCTGCCACTGGCGCCTTCGGTGGAGCTCCCTATGGGGCCACGATCCTCGTGAGGGGTGTGCCGAAATGGCCCGAGGCCGCCATGCGAACCCTGCCACTGGCGCCTTCAGTGGAGCTCCCTATGGGGCCACGATCCTGTGAGGGGTGTGCCGAAATGGCCCGAGGCCGCCATGCGAACCCTGCCACTGGCGCCTTCGGTGGAGCTCCCTATGGGGCCACGATCCTCGTGAGGGGTGTGCCGAAATGGCCCGAGGCCGCCATGCGAACCCTGCCATTGGGGGCCTTCGGTGGAGCTCCCTATGTGGCCACGATCCTCGTGAGGGGTGTGCCGAAATGGCCCGAGGCCGCCATGCGAACCCTGCCACTGGCGCCTTCGGCGGGGCTCCCTATGGGGCCACGATCCTCGTGAGGGGTGTGCCGAAATGGCCCGAGGCCGCCATGCGAACCCTGCCACTGCAGCCTTCGGTGGAGCTCCCTATGGGGCCACGATCCTCGTGAGGGGTGTGCCGAAATGGCCCGAGGCCGCCATGCGAACCCTGCCACTGGAGCCTTCGGTGGAGCTCCCTATGGGGCCACGATCTTCGTGAGGGGTGTGCCGAAATGGCCCGAGGCCGCCATGCGAACCCTGCCAGTGGGGCCTTCGGTGGAGCTCCCTATGGGGCCACGAAGCGGTGGGTGAAACGCAGGGATGAAGAGGAGGAAGGGGGCAGCGGGAGGAGTGGACGCGGGGCGCTGTCTCTTCAAAACGAGGACCCAACACCACAGGATGGTTGGGAACAAATAAACTCCGGCCGCATTTCTGTATGACCCGATGGGGTCTGGGTCAGGATCGCCACACGCGAAACGTGAATAATTGCTACCGAACGACTGGCCCCCGTCCCCCCTCTCCCCGCGCGGGCGCCAAACAATCGACCGGCCGGGCCCTCGCCAAGCTCGACCGGCCCCCGCCAGGCTCGACCGGCCGGGGCCCGCCTTCAGCTTCGCGGTGCCCTTCTCCAGCGTCCTCGCGCGGGGGGAGGGGGGAGGAGAAGGATCCTCCTCCTCCTCCTCGTCCTCGTCCTCCTCCTCCTCCTCCTCCTCATCCTCTTCCTCAATTCCTCAATCCATCGATCCTGCTCCTCGTGCCCCGCCCTTCCTACCTCCTCCTCCTCCTCCTCCTCCTCCTCCTCCTCCTCCTCCTTTCTGGAAAAGACTACACGAGGGCCAAAGTCTGGCACAGATGCCAGGGCCCTATCAGAACTTGAAGCAGACGACGGCCATCAGCGTGACGATGCACTGGCCTCAGCTGGTCCAGCCGCGCAAATGGCAGCGCCGAGGTCCCGCAGAAGCCAGTCGACGTTCTGCGCCTCCTGCGCCGTCTGCGCGGCTATGTGCGCCTCCACGCCCTGCATGAAGACAACCTCCTTGTCGAGCACCGCGCGGCGCCACCGCCGCCCAACGCGGGCCGCCGCCGCGCCCGTCGGCAGGGCAGTCATCCCCCTCAAGGGCCCTTCAGCGCAGCAGGCGACCGCCGCGACCGTCGGCAGGGCAGCCATCCCCGTCAGGGGCCCCATGGCACTGCTGGCCTTCGCGTCCACCGCCGCAACTGCGTGGCAGAGTCGTCGGCGCTTCACGAACGGCTGGTGCCTCTGCCGCCCCTGCATTCCGAGGCGCATGGTCTGCTCGTGCAGCTGCTCGAGGGGAACGAAGGGCTGGGCGGTCGGGTCGGGCGCCCACTCTCCCGCCGCCGTGATGGCGTCGGCCTCGCTCACCACCTCCGCCCCTGCGTTCGCGAAGACAGTGGTGCCACAAGTGCACACGAGGCCGCACCATGGCGAGGTCCCCCTAAGCGTCGGCGTCGCAGGCACCACATCATCAGCTCCTTTGTCCCGCCTTGCCCTTCCGCGGGAGTGGCGCTGCACCCCATTGAGCTGCTTAAAGTTAAGGCCAACCAGCCGGGCCATGGGCGCGTCGAACACGTGCATGGCCACGTTCCGCATGATCGCCTCGAGGTGCACTGCGGTGTCACCGCGGCGTCTGGCAGCCATTTCCTCTTCCAGGTAGGGCACGATGGCGTCCACCCTGCGCTGGACCTCGGGATCTTCACTCCTGCGGACCTGCAGCTCCAGACCAAGGACGCTCTGCTCTAGCCGGGTCTTCTCCTCCATGAGTCTCTTCACGACGTTCTCGGCCGACACCGCGGCCCGCACGCGCCGCTGCCGCCTGGATACTGCATCTCGCCACAATCCAAGGGCGAGTCCCGCAGCTATCCCAAGCGAACACCTGTCGGCCGGCACCATGAGCTATGCACATTGAGCCAAGACGTTGGGGGTGAAGCGGCTTGAGCCAAAATGGCTACGGCTCCTCCTCCTCCTCCTCCTCCTCCTCCTCCTCCTCCTCCTCCGGCTCGGCGCCGGACGGCGACGCTAGCGCAGCGGCCATCGCGCCGGCAGGCGGGGCGGGCAGCCAGCCGCCTGGCTCGGCGCGCACTGACGCTGCACCCGCCAGCGGCCAGGTGAGGCGACGACGCGGGGCGCCGCGGGGCGCGCAGCCGCCGCGACGGCGGCTGGCGCCGCTGGCCGCGCTCGGGCGAGGGGGCTGGCCGCTCGATGCTGGGCACCTCGGCCGGGCGCCCTGGGCTGTCGCGGACCTGCGCCCGGGCGCTGGGCAGCGGCGGGCGGGCGCTGGCGGCAGGCCCGAGAAGCGCCGCTACACCGTCTTTGGACGCCCGAAATGGGTACGGAAAGAATGGGTACAATGCCCGACAACAAACGTTGTCCCAAACCAGCAGCGGCCGCTGTTGGGCAGGCGGCCTACTGTCTCAAATGGACGCAGGCCGCGGCGGCGTGGACAGCGAATCCTGTGCAAAATGAACAGGAACTGCTGTTGGGCATGGTACCCATTCTTTCGGTACCCATTTCGGGCGTCTGGTCGTCGCGGCGCTCCCGGGCAGCGGAGTCTGGAGGCCCCGGCAGGCGCAACCCCTCCCCCCCGGGGATGACCGATGCTGGGTGGCGTGGTCGTCCTCGGGGGGCCGGCGCAGAGCGCTGATGGATTGCACCGGCCCCTACCCAGGCTTCGCGCACGGACGGACCCTCCTCTTCCTCCTCCTCCTCCTCCTCCTCCTCGTCGTCCTCCTCGTCGTCCTCTTCCTCCTCCCGTCCGACCCGAACCTCGCCACTTGACCCATGGGAGGGGAGACTGACCCCCCTCCCCGACCCCCCCCCTATCCTCGCTCCTGGCCCCTCGACCCGCTGCTCCGTAGCCCCCGCTCCCGCCCCACGGGGCACCCTCCAACACGGGTGCTTCCATCCGCGGCCGCAGAGCTCCCGACGCCTCCTTCCCCAGGTGGCAGCCTCTGGTTGGCGGCGAGCGCAAGGGGAAATGAGAAGGGGCGGGCCTTCTCAGAAGGCTCGGAAGTCCTCGGGCCTTCTGAAAAGTTTCCTGCCCTCCCCCGAAGACACCGGAAACATCTCAGGAGGCGCGAGGGCTCCTGAGAAGCCCCGCGTCTTTCTCAGAAGGCCTTCTCGTTCTCAGTTCCTCCCCCTCGCTCGCCGCAGATTTGAACCAGAAAACAAACGACACCACCCAACCTACGACCAAGAGACGTCTAAAGATTGGCGATTGCCCAAATACGACCACCTGCGGCCTTCAAGCGACACCACCCCACCTGCGACCCATGGTAATCGGTCGAGTTTCTTTCTTTTCCTCGAACCGATGCAATGATGATGAAAACCGCCACGGATAGAGAGGAGACCCCACCATGCGATGCAAAAACCACTGGAGGAGAAGGAAAAAGCGGCGAAAGAGGGTACGGTCGGACCTGGGACAAAATTCGCCGGCCCAACGGGCCAGAGGCGTGCTAAGATCTCCAGTAACTGGTTAACAATATTTCTAGTTCGCGCGCGCGGAACGGCCCCTGGCCCCGGGGGTCCCCGGACGAAAAATGCCCCGGCAAGGTCCCGGGAGAAGCCACCAGAGCACTCCACGGGAGGGCCATTTTTCGACACCCCTCACGAGGATCGTGGCCTCCAAGGGGGGAGCCGCAATCGACTGCTGCCCCCCTCCCGCCCCAAGAGGCCCCCAAAAAGCCTCCCAAGAGGCCCTGGGGGCCCCCAGGACGCCGCCAAGGCGCCCCGAGAGACTCCCAAGAGGTCCCCAAGAGGCCCTCAAGAGAGCTCCGGGGCCGGCGGAACGAGCGAAGCGATGAAATAACATCCTTCAAGAGCACGAAACGCTCCGCCGGCCAACCCGGAAAAAGCATTCGAGGGCCACCCTCCAGGATGCACAAAAACACCAAACGCGTATGAGACGCATAAGGGTATCCCCCCCGAGCCGACCTCGATCACATACCTCGGTCCGACCGTGCCGAAGCGGAAGGTTCCCTCGGGGCAGCGTTGCAGCCCAGGGCCACTTTCGATGGCCCCGCGGGCCCGAAGACCAGGCCCAGGAGCCCGAGGCGAGGGGAAAGCGCCGCGACTGAATAGCTCACATAGAGGGAGGTCTGGGTCCTCCTCTTGGCAGGAGGAGGAGGAGGAGGAGGAGGAGGAGGAGGAGGAGGAGGAGGAGGAGGAGGAGGAGGAGGAGGAGGATACGACGCTGTGGATGCGGCCGCGCGGGTGCACAGGCCGACACAAGAGGACGAGGGGCAGGGATCGCCCTACCCTCCAGCTGCAAAAGAAGCCCGTGCTTCAGGTCCATACAAAGTCAACATGAAACGGAGGAGAAGGAGGACGAGGAGGAAAAGGAAGAGGAAAATGAGGAGGAGGGACAGGAGGAGCAGGAGGAGCAGGACGAACAGGAGGAGCAGGAGGAGCAGGACGAACAGGAGGAGCAGGAGGAGCAGGACGAACAGGAAGAGCAGGAGGAGCAGGAGGAGGAGGAAGACAAACCCAAATAAGAGAGCGCACCGAGTTCGGGTGACGAGTGGACGGGGGCGGTGGAAAAGAAGAGACCCACAGCCCCCAAGCAACAACATTGGGCGACGGGCTTGCGATCCAGGGCTTCCAAAGAGACGCCCTGCACCATCAGCGTCGAAGCCGAAGGGGCGAGCGAAAGCTCGAGAAGAGGACTAACTCCCGCACGCTGGCCACGTCGTCCGAGAACCTCAGAGTCAGAGGGGTCAAGGTGGCCAGCCTAGGCACCTTAGGGCGTAGAAGTTTGTCACGCACCTTGTCCCTCGTGTACCTCCTGGAAGGTGTCTTCTCCATGAACTCGGGGCTACAAGGCAGAACAAACTGTGATCCTCCTTGTCCCTCAAAGCGCGATCCGCACCGACGGCGGACAACCGAGTCACGCGACGCAAACAAATCGTGGCCACGAGCCTGGGTCATCGGGACCAGGTCTGATTACTCGCTTTGCGCAGAACTCGGTTCTTCGAGGGCAGTGAGCGGAGGGGTGGGGGGCGCATCGGGACGGGGGCCATTGGGAAGAGGGGCGGGGCCAGGATGTACACCCGAGGTCCTGATCAAGCGGCGTGCGCTCGAAACGGGCTCGCTTGCCGCGCGCCTGCCTCGCCTGACCCCCCCCCCTTATCGCGCCTCCTGCGCAACGGCTCGACCTCTTCGGAAGGGGAAGGCACGTGCAGACCGACCTCGTCCAGCGTCTCCCTCCCCGCAGCGGCGCCAGGCAGAGCGCCGGCAGCAGCCCGGCAGTGCGCGGGGGGTCTTCAGGCACCTGGCACACCTCAAGCTGCCCCGATGCAGAGCGAGCCCGTGGGGGAGCTGAGGGGGCGGAGGAGGAGAATGCCATGCCTTCCCTCTGCGGCTTGGAGGCACCCCATGCCGCTACTTGCCTGGGGCCCCCGTCCTATCCGAAGGGATCGCTCCACGCAGCTGCGCGCCCTGCCTCTGAGACATCCAGCGTCCAACCTGACGAACCAAGCGCAGCGCCCGTCCATGCTCAAGAGAGACAACATCGGGCAGAGCATGCATAGCAAACCCCCGCTTGGCTGCGTCGTCTGCAGAAACGTTGCCCAGCTTCTCGGCCGACCTCTCAGACTGATGCGACTTGACACACGAGATGGGCAAACGAGGGGAGAGTCAGGCCTCCGCGGCCCCCAGGCGCCCTCCAAATGGCCCTCCAAAAATCCACGCGCTGTCAGCGCGGCGCCTCGCGCCAGGCCCGACGCCTCAAGATGCCACCCACAGCAGGCAGATGGTCAGTCCCAGTGCGCGGGGAGGCGCGCGCCCTGCTCGCGGCGCCTGCAAAACCGCAAACAATTCAGCACGTGGCACTGATACCTGGTATCCAGGGAGGGGGCCGAACGCTGTGCCAACCAGCCTCGGCCAAACCATGACTGCTAGGCCCCATCCCGCTCTCGCAGCTCCAGGCCAACACGAAAACAAATGGGCAGAACCGTCAGTGCAAACTTCTCCTGTGGCGTCGAGAGCCGAACCTCCCCGCAGCGCAAACCCCCATCTCTCCACCAAACACGGTGGCTCGATCTCGGGCAGCCACGCACGAATGAAAGGGCACCTCTGAAAGGAAGGACACTGGGCAGGTGCACGCTGGGCGCTGGCCAGGTGGGGCTCATCGAGGGCTTCCCTGAGATCGCTCTGAGCGCATGGTCAGCCCCAGAAAGATGCAGGGCCCCTGGAGCCTCATCGCACGCTTGGCACACACACACTGTGGTCATAGCAACCATGCTGAAACAGGCGCTGCTGCAATCATTGGCCTCCGATGGCGGCCCGTGACGGAGCGAATGCGCGTCGAGGCCATCGGTCCCAGCTTCCAATTGGCACGGGCGGCAGCAGTGGCAAACAACGCCCTGGTCGGTTCCAGCCAGTAGCTCGCAGGAGCTCGCGGGACAATGCCTGCGCTGAGCTCCGGAGCCTGCCCAGTCTCGGTCGCCCACTCGGCTCAACGAGCCTTCCCGAAACCCATGCGCGCAATATCCCGAACCAACAGCGGACTGACATCTCGCAAGTCGAGCTTGGCGCCTCGCCTGGCACGCCACATGCGCGCCGGGGAGGCCACCCAGCCTAGGCGCTTGAGCTGCAGCGCGACTGCCCCCGCTGCTCCTGCAACCGCGCGCCAAGGATCTGGAGCCTCGAGGGCGCGCATGGTCTGCGCCTGCCAGGCGTCCTGCAGGATGGGCAGCGGCATTCTGCCCGCCGCCAGCAGCAATGCCCAGGTACGCAGCGGGCCCGTAACCGCCATGAGCTCAGGCTGCTGATAGACGCTGGGCTCCAGCATGGAGGTAATCCACGTGGGCGAAGCAAGCGGTGCGGTGGACCAACCCTGGTTCACAATACTTCAACATGCGGTCGACCAGATGCGGAGGCGCACTCGTGACCTGCAGCCCGTAGGTCATCCCTTGGCCGATGGTGGGAATGGCCGCGCGCTTCATGGCGGCCTTGAAGCAGCAAGGCCGACGAAACCAAGGCAACCTGCTCCGCATAGCCCGAACACGACGCTTCACCACCTGAAGCTCCAGCGCTTCCCTGCAGCCAGCCACCTCCTCCATGCCGAGCACATCCGAAAAGCTCTGAAACCATGCTACCTGGTCCTCAGCGCAACCTCGACAGCCGGGTCCCAGGTGGGCAACTCCGGGTTACGTGGCGCGGTGGCGAGCAGATCCGGCATGTCAGCGGCAAGGCCACCATCCCCGACTTGTCGCGCGCAAATTGGAGCGCGAGGTCGTTGGCGCACACGCCCAGGCTACGAGGCCCTTGGAAGTCAGCTCCATGAGCGCATTCTGCGGTTCCAGAAAAGAAAAATACAAAATAATCAGCTGCAGGACACGCGCGGCAATTGTGCATCCAGGCAGTGCACCGCGCGTGACATCCACAGCAAATGAAAACGTCCCAGACCACGTGAGCTTCCTCGGCGCATGATACATGGCCAGTACCGTGCGCGAGATGGCGGCTGGGAAACGACACCTATCCGCAACCCGTATCAATTTCGGCCATGCAGCTCGGTCAAAACACTTGTTGATATCAACCAGGGCCGTAGCTGTCTCAATGCTGGGGCGATTCGCAGCTGCCCCAAATTGCACGAGGACCCTGGCCGCAACGTTCACGGTGGACTTGGTTAGCACCCATGGCGAAGAAATGCCTTGAGCGCCGCGATGCCCACCTGCGGATGTGCGCAAATCAAACCATGGCCCAAATCCAATACGAAGACGGCAGCAACGTAATGAGACGATAAGTGCCCGCCGCTTTGGCCAGTGACATGATGTGTGCCGACGTCATCCAAGGTGGCCATCCACTGCCCTCAACCACGCATGCCAGCGACTCGTCCGCCAATAGTGTGAACGCCCTCGGCGCAATGCGATCAACGCCTGTCCCTGCGCGCCGAGGGAAAGCCGCCGACGCGCGTCTCACATCTGCCGCCGTGGGGGCGGGGGGCTCGGACTCAGCCTAGCCAGCGCGTCCTGGGGATCGCACTGGTCTCCATGCAGTAGGTGGTCGATGGCGCGCGCGTCGTCCGGCAGCCTGCGCCCGCCCCATACGTTCTGCCAAAATAGCATCTGGTGTTCGGCCACATCTTGAGCCCGGGTGCGCCCTTCTCCCTGATGTGGTGGGCCTCCGCGCGAACCCATCTCCCGTTCTTCGTGAAATTGAAGAACTTCGTAGGTCCGATCACCAGGGAGTCGACCGCCCACTAGGCACAGCAACTCCTGCGGGCCCCCGCTGCTGCCCCCTCCGGGGAGGCGGCGCGCGTGGCCAGCGCTCCGGCGACAAGCAGGGGGGGGGCGAATGTGCCAATGCATGCTGGAGACAGATCGTGCAAGCGGATGGCGCACAGCAGCAGCGTCGCGGATGAGACGGGGGAGGGGGTGGGGGGTGGGGGGTGGGCAAAAACAAAGCCCTGCCCGCCGAGGCAGCGACTTCCCCTCTCCTTCCAGGACGCACAGCACGCCGAAGCCTCGAGGCTCTCTGGTCAGGGCGGGCGACGGCCGAAGCCGCGGCCAGATGCTCAATCGCCTGAGACATCTCACGAAGGGCACGATCTTCGGGAACGCTAGCAGGGCGCCCCTTGGTGTTAATCCCCCAGCTGGCATCCAGACATAGCTTGGTTCCTGGCCCCCCCCCGGTAGACTGGTCTGGCTGCAGCGCCATATAAGCGTGGCGAAGGTCAGCTTCCGCCATGCGAACAAAAGAACCGCGCAGCGCATCCAACCTGGGGGAAAGCTGACAAGTGTCGGAAGGAAATCCCCCCTCGCATCCTCCTCAGCCAACTGCCAATGGGGTTGGGGCTCGGGGGCCCACCCAATGCGCGACCGCCGCCTGCGTGAGCTGGGGGGGGGGCGAGGAAAGGCCGCGGGCGCCGCCCGGGAGAGCTGCTGCAACAAACGAGGGTGAGCGCGCAGAGAGACCTAGATGGGGAAATGAAGCCGGGCCGCCCAGTCCTGCTTCGCGAGCGGAGCGGGCAGCCGACATGGGCGGCGACGCGCGCCAGAAGTCTATCGGGCGGAGTCCCACCAGCCCTTTAGGGCGTCGGTGGTTTAACGAGTTTCCTCGTCCACCCCTCCTTCTTCCCCTTCGGGGAGGGGTTTACCCCCCCCCTACCCCCTCCCCACTGATCTGGACAGGGGGGGCCGCGATCGGTCAGAGCGTCCAAGATCGACCCCTGGGAGGGCTAAAACTGACACCACCCACGAGGATCGTGGCTCCTGAGGGGGGGGGCTGAAATTTAGGACCCCCCCTTCGTTGATCGATCTCCTCCAAGATGGCTCCGAGAGACGTCTTGGGCCCCCTCCCGGGCCCTGCGCGCGGGCGGGCGGAGCGCCGCCCGCCCGCCCGCAAGGCCCAAGAGCCCACCAAAACGTTCGAAGATACTTCCAAGACGCCACCAGGGAAGAGGAAGATGGGGAGGAAGAGGAGGAGGAGGAGGAGGAGGAGGAGGAGGAAGAGGAGGAGGAGCAGGAGCAGGAGGTGAGGGAGGATGAGGAGAAGATGAGGAGGAGAAGGCGGAGGAGGAGGAAGAGGGGGAGGAGAACAGCTGCCGATCATCGGCGCTCTTCGTTCAAGCGCCTGGTGTAGGATGGGCTGGTGGGGATGCGCGAAGCGTCAAGGATTTTCCACGATGCCCGATTCCTCGACGTTTGCAGGAGGGGGGTCCAACCTCCTCCTGTCGCGAAAGGTCTGGCACAATGCCTCGTGGCCTCCGCGACCCGCAACATTCTCTGCGCGCTAGTTGCTATTGGCGCCGACGAGAATTCAGGATTCACTGCGCCAACGAGCACTCCCTCTGGGATAGCAGCTATATCGGCACCCGCTGCAACGGCCCACGACGGAATGACTTCGCATCCCCTGATGCCCGACGAACTGCGTAGCAGACAAAAAAAATGCGCGCGGATATGCCAACTCCCGCGCTGAGCTGCCCTGACTCAAGCGACATGGCGAGAGGTAAGCCTTCCAGCCTCTGGCGTCTGCCCAGGTCGTTGCCGCCGCGAGATCCCCACCGTCGAGACGCAACTCATGAGCTGCCACGGACATCCTTCGAGACCTGGCCGAAGCAGTCCTTGAACGTGTTCCAGTACGAGCCGTTGTAGGAGGCGAGCCGGATGCTCCGCTTGGATGCATTCCGCGGGCCTCTCCTCATTGACCAGCTGAGCCACTATTGCATGCTACGCAGACCTCAGGGCGAACCGCGCCGTGGGTGCCAGTCGCGGCCGGGCCCGTGTCGACGTCCTCGCGCGCCGCCTGCGGCTGCTGTGGAGCGGGAGGCCCTGTCGCCTCCTGGGCGCTCGCAGCCAGGGCGGCCTTCGAGGTGGCGACCACTCCTGCCATCGAGTCCACGTGCGACGTGAGCAGGTGCACCAGCTGAGCCGAGTGCTGTTCCGCCACGCCGCCCGACGCCTGCTGCAGGACACCGCGGAGGCCTTGCAGCTGCGCCGCCAGGGCCAGGATGTCCGCTGGCGGCGTCGTGGGCGCGGGCGTCGGCCTGGCGAGCGCCCGACGAGCATCCTCGACGTCCTCCTCGATTTGGGCGACCCCCGCTGCCACGATGTCACGCTGCTGCCGCGCGGCCGTGACCTTGACCTCCAGCTCCTCGACCGACTTGAGCAGCTTGGCGTGCTCTTCGCCTTTGGCCTGCTGCAAGCGGTCGATGGAGATGTGGAACACGTCCTCAGGGCGCAGAGCCGCGCGCGCCACCGCCTCCGCCATGGACAGGTCCTGCTTGGCCGGCGCGATGATGGCGGAGTCCTCCTCGTAGCCAATCCTGCGCAGGGAGGCGAGCGCCTTACCACAACGCGCCACCTCTCCGTCCACTGCGCCACTGCCCTTGGCCGAGGCGGGCACAGAACCGTCAGAGGGAGTCCCTCCACCGCGAGGCTTGCCCCTATACCTGGACCTAGGCACACGACCACCAGCAGCACGAGGAGCTCAAGGGTCGGGCGCACGTTTTTGGCGATCCCGCCCGCTGCGGTAGCAGGTCGCCCTGTCCTCGCAGTTCGTGGCGAGCCCACACTGCATGGTCGCCAGGCACGCCCATGTGACACGACCTCCGCCGCCGCCGCTGTGCGCCGAGGGGCCCCCTCCCGAGGAGCCGCCTCCAGCGCTGGCTGCGCCGCCCTGCCATGGCGCACCCGAGACAAGTATGACTTCGCCGTGGTGCCCAGCCAGAGTGTCCGCGGCGCGCTGGCACCGTAGGGCGCTGCGAGCCCACGCACGCCGCCTGCGGAGGCGGCGATGCCACGCGGGCGATCGAGATCTGGGAAGGCTGTGGAAAAGTGACTGACGCCTCGCGGAGCGGGCGGTCGGCGGGGGGCGCAGAGAGAGAGAGATAGAGAGAGAACGGGCCGACCCCTTCGGCATCGCCAGAATCACCTGGGCCACCTAGGAGGAGGAGGAAGAGGAGGAGGCGGAGGAGGAGGAAGAGGAGGAGGAGGAAGAGGAGGCATGAGGAGCAGGAGGAGCAGGAGGATGATGAAAAGGAGGAGGATGAAAAGGAGGAGGAGGAGGAGGAGGAGGAGGAGGAGGAGGAGGAGGAGGAGAGTTGGCGGCGCGCACAGGAGGGTGGTGGGAGGAGAGAGTTCTCAGAAGGAGGCCGCTTCTTAGAAGCCGGTGGCTCCTACCCGCCCCTGCGCGTGGCGGAGAGAGGAATGGCGAAGGGGGGCAGGAGGAGAAAAGGGAAGATGAGGGAAGTACTTCCCCTCATCTTCCCTCTTCTCCTCCCGAGGCTGGCGCTGGCGCCATGGGGAAGACTGGCTCAGAAGGGGGGAACATCCACCAGGAATTGGCGATACATCCAGCAGATCGGCGTTGGAGCCCCGATTGCGAACCCGCACGCTTCTGAGCGGGGTGGGCTATCGGACCCCTATCGGCGTTCAATGGCGGATTCGGGGTCGATGCTCTCATTCCATCCCTCCCCCCCCCCCCCTCCTTTTAGCATTGGAAAACGAGCCTGAGGGAAACGGGTCATGGACCCCGGGCCTTCCCTCGGGAGGCGTTTTTTTTTATCCCGAGTCGTTTTCTGGCAGTCCCAGGGCCCGCGGAGGGCCCTGAGAGCCCGAAAACTGTTTCCCTTAGGACCCGCTTCCCCCAAGGCCATCTCCCCGCTCCTCCCTCTCCTCCTCCAACGGCCGCCGGCGGCGTCAGGGAGGATGGGGGTGAGCCCGACGGCGGCGTCCTCCCGAACTGCTCCTCCTCGTCCTTGATGATCGCCTGGCGCCCGCGGGGGGCGGCTACGGCCCATGGCCGCCTCAGTTCCCCCTTCCCCACCAGGAGGGACGCGGAGAGACGAAGAGCGGCGACGGCCCAGGGGCGGGTGGGGGTCGAGGAGGAAGAGGGCGCCCCCCTCTCTTCATCCTCGCACCCTCCCCGCCCTCCTCGTCCCACCCCCCCTGCCCCCCCTGACCGGATACGACGCAAGGACAGGGGGGGGCGCCCAGGGAAGGAACGATCGAATAGGTGGTCAACTACATCATTGATTTATTCCAGAATTAGTCCTCCCGCCGGATATAAAAGAAACGCGTAGAAGGTTCGTGGATCTGCGGGGCATTCTACGCATTTATCTTAGATGTGGTGAGAAGCTCAGTTTTGGGGTAAATCAATTCTGTAGTCAATCCCCCATTCGAAACGAGGAGGACGGGGGGGGGAGCTTGCGGAACACGCTTCGAGTTTAGGCAGGCCGCTGCGAGTGAGTGCCTGCCCGGCAGCCGCAAGAGTGCGGCCGGCGGGCCCGTCTGGCTGGCTCCGTCTCTGGAGCCTCTCGTCATCATCATCATCAGCATCATCATCCCTCTTCAAAAGAATAAGACAACTCCAAACAAGCATGCGGAGCTGGCCGCCGCCCCGAGGCCGGGTGCGCCGAGGAACCATTGCCAGGAGGTGCGGCCCTGGGAGGGAGGGCACTACGACCGAACCTAGGACAGAACAGCATCCTCGAAGAACGTGGAACCCTCCACCAGTCCACCTGAAAAACATTCGAGGGTACCCCCCCCCCAGGGTGCTCAAGAACACCCAACGAATACGACGAACACTAGGGTGCCCTCCCAGAACCGACCTCGATCTTACACCTCAATCCGACCGTAGAGGGACAAGAAACGGCATAAACAAAAACCCTTGGAGGTCCGCGCGGACTTCTTGGATCGGTGCTGGACCCCCTCACTGGCGCTCGGAGCGCGCTTTGGGCGCCGCCAGGGGGCTCCGCCGCCGATCCGAGGAATCCGAGGAGGGTGGTCATAAGCAAGGGGGTCGTGAGGAGGGAGCGTGCGCGGACGAGGGGGGTGGTGGCAGGGGGCGTGCCTGATGAAGAGGGGGCCCTGGAATCTGGGAGATCTCATGGCCCCTGAAACGATGTCTGCCCCCCATGTGCAGTCATCACGCGTGACCATAGGGAACGCTAAACAAAAGAACAAAGGAGCTTCTCTGGCCACGGCGAGCCTCGGCCACGAATCATTGGACTCCCCGAATCAAGTCTGAGGAACGGTCCAAAAACCAGAGCCCCTCCCAAGCTCAAAGTGGATGTATTGTTTTTCTTGGAAGCGGTTGGGGGTCTGTGCTGGATGGACCCCGAGGGTCAAGAGGTGGGGACGAGAGCACGTCTACTCAAAATCGGCCCCTGGACCATTCCCGAGGTCGAAACTGACCAGGTATTCAAACCGCGTCCGGCCGTGGCGACGAGGGGGCCCCTCTCCACGGTCTGCTCGCCAGAACCAGGTGCTGGCCTCACCCCCTCAACTGACGGCCCCCCTGAAATACGTCACGGACCAATTGCAACATCGGTCAGAACCCTGGACTCTGGACCCATTTTTCAAGCCGGATCGATCCGTGAGGGCCCCGAAGCTCGAAACAACGGAAATCTCGGTCGTTGTGAAAGCTAGAGCCCTTCCTGAACCCCAAATGAGCTGTATTTCGGCGTATTGTCTGGCTCCTCATCCCCTTCTTGGACGCCCGCGACGAGGCATCCCCTCCGGGCCCGTCCTTGACGTCCTCTGGGTTCTCCCTGAGCGTCGGGAAGGCGTCGCCGAGCGTGTCGAGCACCGAGTCCACAAGCGTGTGGAAGAAGCCTGCCGGCCCCTCTCGGAGGCGGGCCAGTCGAGACAACGGCAGCCCTCGCTCGCGTTTTTTTCTGTCCTTTCTGAAGCTCCTGGAGGCTTCTCGTCGCGACGGCTGGATCCGCGTCGGAAAAAAAAGAGTCAGGCTGGACTCAGGGAGGGGTCTGGGGTCTGAGGACCGACTTTGAGCAACTGTGGGCGCTGCGGGATGGCCGCTTTTGTCTCAACTGGCTTCAGGTGGACCCTGAGATCCTGGCATCGCATTTTTTTCGCCACGGGCAATTTTGCCATCACTCGGGCCCTGGGACCCTCACGGATCGATCGGGCTCGACAATTCCAGCAGAGCGATGGGGTCCTGGTCGAGTTGTTGTTGCGATGCTGTATCTCTGTTCGTGAAGTCGGACCTCAGGGAAGGTGCATGTCAGGGGGGCGCTGGCTCAGGGGGGAAGAATGCCGAGCTGGAGCCGGCGCCACACCTCCGGCAGATCGGCGGCAGCAGGTCCGCACGTGCCTGGCCGGGGTGGGCTACCAGGCCCTCCTCGGCGAGGAAGCGTTGGGGGCCGACGCGTCCCCCTCCCGAGCCTCAGATTCTCCTCCCCCCAGCGTTGCCCCTGAGAGGGGGGGGGATGCCAGAAGCGTCCTTGGCCCCAGGGGCCCCACAGCTGGTGGTGCCCTTTTTCGGGGCCCATGGGGCCCTCGGGGCCTCGTGGGAGGGATGCTGTGGAGGCCACGTGGGCCTCCTTGGAAAAGCTGGGGCCACCTTCTGCCAAGGGCGACTTGAGCAACACTGGGCAAGAGATGAGGAGGGACGGCGGGAGGGATGGACCCATACCTCCTGCGTAGTGCTTCTTTTTCTGCACGGGATCCCCATGCAGAAGACCCGACCCCAGGTCAAGAGTTTCGTCCCGGATCGCTCTGGAACGGCCCTGGGGCCCGAAAACGGCGCCCCGAAACCGAACACGGCGAAGAACATCAGTCGATTGGCTTCCAAAACTGGGATGGGCTCTATGTATACACAACGTCGTTTGGTTGGCCAAAGATCTCGCTGTATTGACGCCACGGCTGCCAAGCCTGTGGGACGCCGGAGCGTCAATACACCGGATTCCTTCGCCGAGTTCACTGGCTGCTTAGCCGACTGCACGACGTGGTGCACACATTGAGCCCCTTCGAAAGACGGTGGATTTGGGGGGATGGGGAGCCAGGAGGAAGCAGGAGAAGAAAGAGAAGCCTTGGTACACGGCAGCTGGACGCTGCGGTGAGAGCATCTGGAAGGCTGTCGGGGAAGAGTCTCTCCCGGGCGATGCCTCCCCCCCCCCCCGAAGGAAGCTCGCCTTCCCAGTCTGCCCCGAGATCACGCAACCTTTTCCTTGCTGTTACGTCTGGCCCTGGACACCTTTTGTGCAAATGCTCCTGTGGATCAATCGTGGGAGGAGCTGGGGCCCGTCCCCCGCATCAGAAGCTGTGACCTGATGGTCTCCCGCATGCTCTCCAATGTGGTCTCCCGTGTGGTCTTCCGTGTGGTCTCCCCTTGTGGTCTTGCGCATTGTCTCCTGTCTCCCTGACGGTCTTCCTTGTGGTCTCCCCATGATGGTATCCTTTATGCTCTCCCTTATGGTCTGCCTTATGCTCCCATGGTATGGTCTCCCTGATGGCCTCCCGCATGACTCCCAGATGGTCTCGCATAAGTTGGGTTATGGTCTCCCGTAGTGTGTGCACCTTTCGGTTTCCCTTTGGGTCTCAAGTCTGGCTTCCCCTACGGTCTGCCTTCTGGCTTTTCTGATGGTCTCCCGATTGGTATCCCGTCAGATCTCCCGCATGCCCTGCCGTACGTGTGGTCACCCGACTGCGTAGCACTGAATTGTGCAATACTGTCTATTTAAGTGTGCTGTTTAGTGTCCTCTGCTGCCAGATGGTAATCTTCCTTTGTTTCATTGCAGCGTGGCGAACAAATCACGACCGTACCTTACGTGTGCGTCGGGGACAGGACGCTCGCAGCGCGGTCTCCCCAATCCAAGATCTCACGACACATGAACTTCTGAAGTCCGAGGGCTTCTGTTTATGTTGGCGGCCTTCCAAAGTGGGGCCCAAGTAGATCGGGAAGGAGGATCGCGGCGCATCGCCGATGTATCAGCGATACGACGGCGCCGCCAGCGTGGGGAAAATCGGGCTTCATACCGAGCCGCATCACCGATACGGCAATGCGGCGCGACCCTCCGACCCCCGTGGGTCGGCGCTGGACCTCCCCTGCCAAACGCGCGAAGCGCGCCAGGGGTGGCGCCAGGATCGCCGGAGGAGGAGGCGGAGGAGGCGGAGGAGGAGGAGGCGGAGGAGGAGGAGGGATCGGCGATGGGCTCCCGGTTGCGAAACCGCACGTTCCCTGACGCGGCGGGCTGCCAAGCCCCGCTCGGCGACAACCTGGAGGATTGCCAGTCGACGTGCTGATTCGGGGCGGTCTGGGCACCCCCGGCACGCCCTCGGCGAAGCGCGGCTGCTGGAAGCCGACCCGAGGCTGGAATGCCGCCGAGGACCGACGAAAACGTCCGAAAACCTCAGACGCACCTCCTCCTCCGCCTCCTCCTCCACAATTACACAATATGAATGATACTCTCCTCTCTCCCCTGGTGGCGTCCGGGGAATGTCCCGCCCCCCTCCGCGTACTGGTTGTTTCACGCACAGGATTCCCGGGAGTTGTTTTTCTTTTTCTTTCAGGATCCTGCTCTCGCTGAAGCGCTGGCCTCATTTTCGGGCTATCGCTCGTTCCGAATCGTGCTCCCGCTGCAGCGCTGGCCTCATTTCCGCGCTTCCGCTCGTTCCGAATCATGCTCCCGCTGCAGCGCTGGCGTCCTTATTTCGAGTGCCATGCCCTGATATGGTTTTCCGTCCTTCCAAATAGGCTCCAAAATCTTCAAAATGGACACGCGAAGAAACCATCGGAAGTGATCACACATTCGGTGTCGATTCGTTGATTTCTGGGGCCGCAAAAGCCCCCACCACCCCCCACTTTGGGGCGTCGCCACGCCATGCTACGTCAGGCTACGCGTCCTCATTTCCGCGCTTCCGCGCTTGTTTTTTTCAAAATCCTGCTCTCGCTGAATCGCTGGCCTCATTTTCAGGATACCGCTCGTTCCGAATCGTGCCCCCGCTGCAGCGCTGGCCTCATTTCCGCGCTTCCGCTCGTTCCGAATCGTGCTCCCGCTGCAACGCTGGCGTCCTCATTTCGAGTGCAATGCCCCTGCATGGTTTCCAGTCCTTCCAAATGGGCCAGAAAATCTAAACAATGGCCTCCCGAAGAGACCATCGGAAGTGAACACACTTTCGGTGTCGATTCGTTGATTTCGTGGGCCGCAAAAGCCACCCCCACCTCGGGGCGTCGCCACGCCATGCTATGTCATGCTCTGCGTTGATATTCGACACCATGCTATGCCATGTAATGCTATGCCATGCTGCGACATCCGATTGTGCGACTTGAGATGAGATCTACGCCATGGTGAGGGATGGGAGGGAGGGGTAGGACGTCAGATATGACGCGAGCGCATCTAGCTTGTCCTCCTTCCCTCTCCCCCCCCCCTCCCCCTGCTCCTGTCTCGAACACCTTGAGCCCCCCCAAGCGCAGGCCCCCGGTGGCCGCCGCCCCCACCCGCCAGGCTTCGCTCCGAGGATCTCGCGGCCGTAGCGCACCGCGCGCCGCAGGATCCTGGCGCGGTTTGCGGGCAGAGGGTGTGCTGCCCTTCCGCTCCACATGGGCGCGGCCGAGTGCGCGCTCTGCGCACGTGCAGGTGCGGAGAGAGGGAGGGCAAGAATCGGCGGAGAGCGAGGGGGGGAAGCGAGAAGAAGGCCTTCTGAAACATGTTCTGTGCTCGGGGAAGGCTCATAACACTTCTCAGAAGGCCGGGGGACTTCCGAGCCTCCTGAGAAGGCCCGCCCTGTCTCACTTCCCCCCCAGGCTCGCCGCCGAACGAGGGGGGGGGCAACTGGGCGCTCGTGATGGACGCTCTGGGACAGCTGCGGTGCGGGCAAAGTGCGCCGCCGCTCGCGCCGCAGGGGCGCAGCCGACGGCGCGCTCTGCACACGTCTTCGCGGTCGCGGCCTCGCGCGCAGCGACGACGCGACGCAAAAGTCAGGGAGCGGCGGGCGCGGGGTGCAGGGGCGGGGGTACGTATGTTTCTTTTCGAAGGATGAGAGTGGGAGCTGACACTGTATGTGGACAAAACACAATCTGTGGGAACAACACACACTGGCTGTGGACAAAAACACACAGTCTGTGGACAAAACACTCAGAGCTATTTTTGTTCCCCCGTGTGTTTTTGTCCACAGACTGTGTGTTTTGTTCGACAGATGAAGCCTCCAGCTGTGCACCACGTCTGCCCCGCGAGCGCAGCGCAGCGCGCGCCGCAGGATCCTAGCGGTGATGACAGCGTGCGCCGCCCTCGCGCCGCCGGGGCACGGCCGAAAGCGCGCTCTGCACGCGCGCACACAACCCGAGCTTGTCCCCACCCACGGTGACCCTGACAACCGCTCTGCCTCACAGTCAGGCTGCTGAAACAAGGAGCGCCAGAGAAGGGACGAAGCCCCTCTTGGGCACCAAGACAGCCTGGGTGCACGAGGAGGGCTGGAAGCACAACCACAGAGGGACCTGAGGAACACCGAGCCGTGGCCAAATGGCCGCTCGCAGTCTGAACCGCCCAGTGCCGCAGCCCCAAAACCAGAGAAGGGGGAGGCGGCCTCGCGCGCGGCGACGAGGCGGAGCAAATCGGGGAGCGGCGGAGGCAAGCGCGCACGGCTGGGCCCTCAGCCGGGATCACTTTGGATCGCCGCACGCGCGCTCTGCACACGTTCAGGGGTCGAAGGGGGGGGTATCGTGGAGGCCTCCCAAATGGGGTCCGAGTAGATGGGGTCGGAGGATCGCGCCGCATCGCCGATACATCGCCGATGCTTCGGCGACGTCGGCGTGCAGAAAATCGGGCCCTCCGTCAGGCCGCACCGCCGATGCATCGGCGATGAGGCGCGATCCTCCGACCCCATCTGCTCGGATCACATTTGGTAGGCCTAAACATCAAGACATAATCGGCTATCTTCGGATCGGGAGATCTCGGCGGCGCGCCCCGGGGGGGAGGGCAGACGGGGCGGACCTTCTCAAACAGGCCCAGACGGCCTCCAGGATGCCGAGAAATTTTCCAAATCCCAAGCAATCTCCGAGAGAACAGACAACCGGGGGCTTCTGATAAGCCCCGTCGCCTCCTGAGAAGCCCTGCCCCCTCTCACTTCCACCCGGCGTCGGCGTCGGCGTCGGCGTCGGCCATCAGGCACAGAACTCGCTGGCGGCGGCTGCTCCTCGGCTCCTCAGAGGCCTGCCTCGGGCCCCCGCGGCCGGACGGGAGCGGTGCTACCACGCGCGCCGCGCGGTCGGCTCGGGACACAGCCTGGAAGCTCCGGGGCTTCCTGGCGGCCCTCGCGGCGCGCCGTCGTCGTCGCCTCCGCCGCCGTGGCCGTCGCCGTCAATCACCCGTCGCCCGTCGTCCGCCGTCCGTTGTCCATCGCCTGTCGTCGCCGCCGTTCGTGGCACACCGCGTGTGGTGCAGGGCTCGGCCTGAGAAACAGTGCTTGTCGTCTTCGGCCTGTCGTCGTTTCTCCTCGCCTTGACTTCGTTGCGCCCGCGCTGCAGAACGCAGCCAAAACGAAAGCGGTCCACGAAATCGCCAAAAACCCGCTCAGGTCGAGCCCTGGCATGATGCGGTCTGATGCTGGCTCCCGTCGTGACGACCTGCGGGTTGGTCTCAGACACCGTGTGGCTCGCTCAGCCTTGCACGGGCGGGGCTCTCCAACCGCGTACGTCGTTCCACCTGGAACCCCCGCACCCAGGTCGCCGCCGAGTCGCCGCGCGCGAACCCTGCCGTACCGTAGCCCCTACCCTGTCCTTCCCGTTTTCCTCTACCTCCTCACTCTTCCCTCCTCCCTCGCCTTTCCTCTCGGATCCATCCTGGGGCCCATACTACCCAGAATAACCCCAGGAAGCATTTAAGAACCCCCCCGGCGATATCTTAGCACCGCATTTTTATTCGATATTCCGAAGGGCCGAAATAACCGCACGATAGGTTTAGCACCCGGACACACAACAAATTCGCGGAGGCCTGGCCCCTGGGCTACAATCGGAATTCGAAATTGGAGGCCTGTTTCCTCCTCCTGCTCCTCCTCCTTCTCCTCCTCCTCCTCTCCTCCTCGTCCTCTCCTCCTCCTCCTCTCCTCCTCCTCCTCTCCTCCTCCTCGTCTCCTCCTCCTCCTCAGGAGAAGGCCCAGAGGGGAAACCCCAGGTGACTTGGGCCCTGACAGGCCTTGGGCCCCGAGGGAAGGAGGGGGGCGCGGGAGGAGGAGGAGGAGGAGGAGGAGGAGGAGGAGGAGGAGGAGGAGGAGGAGGGGGCAGGAGGAAGTTCGTGGGTGGAGGAGGAGGAGGAGGAGGAGGAGGATGAGGAGGAGGAGGAGGAGGGCTCCTGGTGCCAGGTAACGCTTCCAGGGTGCGGAAGGGTTATCGATTTGCCGGAAGGGGGGGGGGGGTTCTTAAATGCTTCCTGGGGTTATCAAGGGGAAACAAAGCGGAGACGACTGGGAGCCTCACGGAGACGCAAGAAACCCCTCAGAACCTACAAAAAACTCTATGCTCATCTGTGGTCGCCGTCTTCCCTTCTCCCTCTCCTCTTCTCGCCTCTGTCTGCGGTGCGACCAAGTCATGCGGATGCGCGGGGGGAAGCAGGGCCCTTCGACACCGACATTGAAGCAGACTGCCAAGGCACGTGCCCTTGGAAAACGACTCGTCCTTATGATGCGGTCTGACTGTGCCGTGCCTGGCCTGGCGCCGCTGGTCCATGCCGCTGGTCTATTACAGCCATCGTGCTACCGAGGAACGCCAAATCAGGGACGACACGGCGTTTCCAGCGATTTCGAGCCTCGGCCGCGAAAGGGCCCCCTCGGCCTGGAGCCCAGGGGCGGCCCGAAGACCGGAGCCGCTTCTGAGCCCAAAGTGGTGATCGTTTGAGCGCCTTGGCTTCACCACTCGGACTCGCACTGTGGGTCCAAAAGCGGTTCGGTGACAGACCGTGCGGTGACCTCGCCGCACGGTCCGTCACCGCGCAGTTTTGGGACCCTGGCGGTCTGCATCGCCCGAGGCCTCGTTGGAGAGCAACTCAAATGTCAAAACCGCGCGGTGATCCCGAGCCCTAATTGACTCATCACACGGCGTGATCACCACACCGTTTGAGGGCTCCCGATGTCGGAAACACATGTACAAGTGCCGTCACTCCCCTGACCTTTCCCGAAGTGCGTTCTGACCAGGGATCCGAAATGAATCCAGCCGTAGCCACGAGGGCAGCACAGGAGACCCAGCAATGCCGAGGCAATGGCAACTGCATCGGCATTTGTTATTTTGGATTCCCAGGACCCCCGCCCCGTACATCGAAGCTGAGTCGAATCCACGTCGAATCCGTGCCGAATTCACGCCGACACCACGGTGTGGCCACCGCAACGTCGGGTGATCTCCACTCGCACCAAGGCCGGCGGGGCAATGTGCTCGGAAACGCCCCGTCCGCGCCACTCGCGTCGGGAGATCGCCTGCGCGCCGCCGCCCGCGACGAGGACGACGAGAACGAGGGACGGCACGGACGACGAGGACGAGGACGAGGAGGACGAGGAGGACGGCGAGAACGAGGAGGAGAACGACGACGAAGACGACGACGACCACGACGACGACGACGACCTCGACGACGACGACCACGACCACGACTGCGGCGGCTGCGGTGTCGGCTCCGACGCAGTACGTACCCGCGACCGTCGTTGGAGGGCACCGCGCCGTCCGTGAGGGCGATAGTCAGTGTCCGGATGTGGTCCGCGATCACGCGGTAGGCCATGTCCACCTGCGGTGCCCCGAGGATGGGAGAGACGCGCGAGGAAGTTAGGAGGCCGCCCTTGGGAGGTCTTCGGACTCGTAAGACAACTTTAGGGCCATTCAGCCCGACTATGTGTCCACTAAGCCAGATTAGGCTGGAACCAACCTGCAGGAGTAAGCCCGGGACAAAGAAAGATGAGGCGGAACTAAACGGTACGATGCTGGTTTCGACGACGGAGATACCAGGGCCGGCCGATGCAAACTTTAGCATGCCAGAAATTGCATCAACGACGAGGTCATGCATCTTCGATCCGCGAGATAAAGATTATTTGAAAGCTGCCCGAAAGGACAACTGCAAGGCCGCAGGTTTCCCAGCAGTCTGGCGGCCTTCCAAGCCTCAGGCGAGACACCTCGGGGGGTCGAAAACTCGAGATGCCAGCACCGGCTCGTGGACGAACGCTCAAGAGGCGGCGTGCTGCGCAGCACCTGATGAGGGGGAAGAGGAGGACAAGGCGATACGAGAGAATCTACTTTTTCCCACCTAGGCTTTGCCTACGAGGTTCTTCTTCCTTCGTGACATGATTCGATAATTCCATGTTTGTCAAGCGCTTATGTTGTTACGCAAACAGCGCGCAAGCACCACTTGCGTTTCTTCCGGTTCCGCCCACGCGTCCTTCCAGATGCTTGGTCATGCTTGCTTGCTTGCAAGTGAGTGAGACTGGTGGGCGCGGGGGAAGTGGAAGAGGGGGGAAGAGGAGGAGGAGGGGGACGAGGAGGACGACAAGGCGATCCGAGAGGATCAACGTTTTCCTAACTAGGCTTTGCCTACGAGGTTCGAGGTTCTTGTGTGTGAGAGAGACTAGTTGGCGCGGGGCCCTTCGTCAGAGGCGAGCCCCAGAGACGCCCGGGGCTGCTCAGGGTGCGGGGCCCTTCGTCGGAGGCGGTTTTCGGGGTGAGCAGTGCAGAGCAACGCCGAACAATGTCAAACAACGATCAAACAATGCCAACACACCTTCCGGGCATTTGAAGCTCGAATAACTATGGACGCCTCCTGCTCCTGCTTCTCCTCCCCCCCCTCTCCTGTTCATCCTCGAGCCTGCGCCCAACGAGCCCCTTTGGGCCCGGTGTGGTACCCCTTCTCATTGCTAAGGGACCAGGAGGTGGGGGGCAGCGCGGAGGAGCAGGGAAGAGGAGCAGGGAAGAGGAGAAGGAGGAAAACGAGGAGGAGGAGGAGAAGGGGCAGGGGGGAGGGTGAGGAAAACGACGAAGAGGAGGAGGACGAGGAGGAAGAGGGGGAGGAGGAGGAGGAGGAGGAAGAGGACGAGTAGGAGGACGAGCAGCAGCACGTACGGTCATCGTGTTGCCATTCAACGACGGGGACGAGCACGGCCATCGTACCATGCAGCTCGAAAATGCCTGGGCCCTCGATCTCTACCCGCCGCACACTCCGGTCAAGGGCAGACTGTCTCGCAACGTCGGCCGCCGCCGCTGAGGCGCGGCGCTGGGTGGTGGCTGGCCTGGAAGGCGGGTCAGAAACACTGGAACACCTCATCTTCGGAGGGCTGCGACTCGTTGTCCGAGCCCTCCAGGACGCTGCGCTCCCCACGGGCTATGACCCTGGGGAGCTCCCACTGCACGCAATTGCAGAAGCAGGCCAGCACCGACGCCCGAGGCAACGCCCGGGAACCAATCGGCCGATCCAGGGTCACGCGGGCCTGCAGAGCCCGGAAGCTGGAGCTCGACCAACTCTCCGAGCTCAGTCATCTCGCGCAAACGCATAGGGCTACGGGGGCTGGACACGAAAACCTTGGACGAGGCATTCTGCTCAACTGAATCTTGATGCCTGCGCTCGCAAGCTGGCCCTTGCACCGCTCACGCATCGGGGGCCCCGCCTTGCCGTCGGAGCCGTAGGCCCCACATCGGATACAAAAATGGAAAAACCCTCGTGCTAAAGCGCTTCCACTGCACAGCGCGAAGGCCGTACCCAAAAAGATGATAGACCTGGAGGGTTTTCCTCCAGGCCTGGTCGATGGAGACCAGCTCCTCCTCCTCCTCCTCCTCCTCCTCCTCCTCCTCCTCCTCCTCCTCCTCCTCCTCCTCCTCCTCCTCCTCCTCTTCCTCCTCCACGACTCCCGACGACGACGGCCCAACCCTCGCCTCTTCCTTCAAAAATGGGGCTGCTCCCCGAGCTTCCAATTCGTCGCCCTGCGGGGGCCCTGCGGCGCCACCGCCAGAACCAGCAGGCCCGGCCACTGGAGGGGCCAGCCCTGTTGTGGGTCGGGCCATCCGCTGGGCCCGAAGGTTCCTCTCGACGCAGCCCTGTTGGGGCCTAGTATAAGGCCCCAAAGAGCTCCGCGCCGATAACTTCTGCGCGCGCCATTAAACCTCAGCGCGGTCGTTGGAGGGAGAGAGTGAGAGAGTGAGAGAGAGAGAGAGAGAGAGAGAGAGAGAGTCAGAGAGAGAGAGAGAGAGAGCGAGAGAAAACGAAAGAGGGAAGAGGGGGGGCCTGCGAGGGCAGCAGGATCCGCTGCCCCGAAGCCCGACTTCCCCAATGTATACGAATGTGGTTGTCGTCGTAATACCATTTTCCCTTCCACCGCCCCGTCCACGTCGGTGGCGTTTCCTATTTTTCTGCTGTATCCATATGATAATCGCGTTCCCCGTGCATTTCTAAACCCTGCCGTCAACTCGGTCGTCCTCTGCTCCACTCATTTATTGGTAGAGAGCTTTAGTTGTTGCAATCTTTCGGGGCCGATGCTGACATCGTTTGCCGCGCTTTCTTCCCAGGCTATCTTTTGCGGAGGCCCCGGGGTTTCCACTGGGGGTCTAGCTGAGGGCCCTGAATTGCCGCTAGAATATGGCGCTGGCCGGTCCGGGCTCTGCATCGGCGGTTCCTCCTCGCGGACTGGTCACGCGGCGAATTCTCCGCCGCTCGCTCGAGCTCGGTCTTCGGCCAAGGGCCCCGCCTCAACTCCGCTCCCGCGTCGATCACGATGGGCCCTGGCGCTTTCTTGGAGAACGTGGGGTGGCGCGCGTCTAACTCCCCCATTGCCTCGTCGCCGGGGCTGGCTGGCTGCGGCCCAATCGTCGAGGGGGGGGCGGCTGATGATGTGGCGCCCCCCCCCCCCTTGCCGATGCAGGCCCCCGTCGACCCGCGCGCCTCCGTCGCCTTGCATTGAAAAGCGACCTCGGTCGCGATCCGTAATCAGTCCTGTGCCATGGCCTGGCGTCGCCACTTCTCGAGAAATGTCCTGTTCCAGTCCAGCTCATTTTGGAGCATGCCCCCCTGCGCGTCTGCTGCTCGACGCGCGCTAGAAGCGCCGCGACCAGCGCGAGCATGGCGCGGGCGCGAGGCGGCCCAGCTTGCGCCGTTTCCACCGGCCTGGCCTGCGCCTCGCGATCCTGGCCGGCGCGCAGGGCGCGCCTGAATGGCGACGTCGCAGCTAGAATGAGCCAATGCACCTGCGGCGCCGCCAGTCGGTGGCGCCTCGCTCTCTCCGCCCTCCGCTGCCCGGCTCCTGCGGCGGAGGTCCTCCTCCCGAGCTGGGCGCGGCGGTTCCGTGTCCTTCTCCTTCCGCCCCCCAGGTGGTTCGCTGGCTGGTAGCGCGCCCCTCATCTGAATCTCCGCGCCCGCGGCGGGAGCCGGGGGGGGGCGCGCGGGGCGGCTCCAGAGGCGCGCGCTGAGCGGGGCCCGATGCGATGGCAGCGCGAGCGTGTCTGACAGGCCTCTACACGTTGAGCCTCGCGCTGACGTGTTTTGGCGCGCCGAGCCGGGGTTTTCGATCGCTCCGCGGCCCCATCTGCTCCCGTTTCCATAGCGCATCCCGCGGCCGCTCTGCAGGGCGCGCGGCGCGGCCGACAGCAGCCCTTCTACGTGCGCGCGTTCTCAGGCACCGGGGCGCTGACTTGCACTTGCGGCCGCGGCGCCTGCGACGAGCTGTCGGATCCTGCGCGCCCCCCCAAGTCGTCTGCAGGTGCCGCCGTCGTCGCGAAACTCTGTCCGCGCGCGGTCTCGTCTCGGCCGGGGCCCCCGCGCGCGCGGTCGCGCCAGTGCGGCTTGAATCCGCCCGTGCTCTCCCGCCGTTTCCTTTCTCATTATCGTTTGAAATCCACTGCGCCCCGGGCGCGCTCTCGCCCGCGGAGGGCCCGCTCCCCGCGCCCCCCCGCGCCCGCCGCGAATGTCGCTATGTCCGACGTTCTCTGATCGCGCCAATGCCAGATTTCCCGGATGACTTCTTCGAGGGCTTCCAGCTCATGCCCCACTTGCTTGGCCCGCGGCGCAGACCCCCCGGGCCAGCCATTCACCCTGCAACCTCAACGCGCGCCCCATGGGATCCAGAACCGCGCCCCCGAAGACAGCTGGCGTCACTCAAGAATACCCCCTGGCGCGCAGTTCCCAATTCTCGTGCAAATCCAGCCCCCTCGCGCGCGGGGCCGCCCCTGCCCTCTCGATCCTCCACTCGCGGGGCACAATCGCCGTCGCGCGGCGCCAGGGCTGCCCCCTCCCCCCCCCCCCGCTGCAAGTCTGCGCGGGCGCCTTCCAGTCGCCGCGCCAAGCGCGGCCGCGCGCGTCTGCGCCAGCGCAGGCGCGGCGGGTACGCCGCCGGCCGCGCGTTGCGCAATCGCCGCGGACATGGCCCGCCCAATGGGATCGGCTGCGTCTCCAGCTGCATTCTCAGGGCCTGGCATCTGCGCGCGCGCGCTCTCTCTCTCTCTCTCTCTCTCTCTCTCTCTCTCTCTCTCTCTCTTTTTCTCTCTCTCTCTCTCTCTTTTTCTCTCTCTCTCTCTCTCTCTCTCTCTTTTTTTTTTTTTTTTTTCTCTCTCTCTCTCTCTCTCTCTCTCTCTCTCTCTCTCCCTCTCTCTCTCTCTCTCCCTCTCTCTTATTCTCTTTATTCCTTTCTCTCATTCTGCATTTTTTCTCTATCTCTCTCTTTCTCTCATTCTCTTTGTCTCTCCCTCTCTCTCTCCTCCTCTCTCTCTCCTCTCTCTCTCTCTCTCTCCCTCTCTCCCTCTCTCCCTGAATTTCTC